TTTTTTTTGAAATCCATGCATATGAGGAGTCTTCGAAAAGTTCATGAAAATGTATAAAATGAAAAATAAAACTATGTATCTCATTATTTTCGGCACCAAAATAAATATCTTGTTTTTAAAGATTTGCGTATTTATTTGAAAGGCAGAGTTACAGAAAGAGAGACAAAGAGAAAGAAGAGAGAGACCATGCATCCCCTATTTCTCTCCTCAGATGGCCAGCCATGACAGCCAGGCCTGAGTCAGAGAGTAAGAGCTGCTTCAGGTCTCGCACATGGGTGGCAGGAGTTCAGCCACTTGGGCCGTCCTCTGCTGCTTTCCCAGCCGTTAGCAAGGAGCTGGGTCGGAAGTGAGGCAGCCAGACATCAAACCTGTGCCCACGTGGGCTGCCGGCCTCACAGACAGCACACCAATGTGCTATACCGCGACATCAGTCCCACAAACGGATATTTTAATTCTATTTTCCACAAAGCTCTTGAAGTGCTTTTGTATGTGTGTGATATCCATTTTTAATCTTGTTTCCTTCTTTTAAAAAAAACAATGAGATTTAGGATATACAGGATTTTTGCCAATTACCTTTACATACCTCATATACTCTGGGGATAAATGTTAAAATGTGTATTTGTCAATTTTATATGCAAAGATATGATATTTGATTTTTACATGTTTCATTACTAGTGAAAAGAAATACTTATTCACTACTATTTGCATTTCTTATTTTACTATTTATTAATATTTATTTTCCAATAAATTATTAGGTTTCTTATTGATTTTAAAAGCACTTTACATATTAAGGACGTGACCCCTATTTTATTATTTATTTTTATTGGAAAGTCCAATATACAGAAGGAAGGAGAGACAGAGAAGATCTTCCATCTGTAGATTCACTCCCCGAGTGGCCACAATACCTGGAGCTTACCTGATCCAAAGCCAGGAAGCCGGAGCCTCTTCCTGGCCTCCCACATGCATACAGGGTCCCAAGGCTTTGGGCCATCCCCCACTGCTCTCCTGGGCCACAAGCAGGGAGCTGGATGGGAAGCGGGGCCACCAGAATTAGGGTCAGCACCCGTATAGGATCCTGGAATGTGCAAGGTGAGGACTTTAGCCACTAGGCTACCATGCCCAGGCCCAATAAACCCTTTTTGATAGACATTGCAAATATTTACCTTCAAATTTTAATTTGAATTTTAATTATCTTCAAATTTTAATTTGGGTTTTTTTTTTCTTTGCTACATAAAAGATTCAAAGTTATGTCTAGTTAAATATATCAATCTTTTCCTTCATGCCATTTACTGTTAACAGTTTGATGTGTATTTTTCCAGGCATTTTCTATGCATATGCAAATATAGCTATAAATATATGTGGTTAGATGTGAAGCTTTCCTTCATATTTGAGCTGATGCATGCACTCCACTACAACTTCCTTATTACGTGAACTAGTATTATTTCTTTCTACATTAGTATGCAAAGCCCTAACCCTTGCGGAGTATTTTATTGCATAAATTTAATATCACACTATTCAATACATTTTTAAAGACTATTTTTTATCTTCACATTTAAATATGGACGTTTTACAGTGTCTACAAGAAATAGACCTAAGCATATTGATTCCATGAAGCGAGCCAGTCGCTCTCTCCTTTGCTCTTTGACTTGAAATAACTTTGCCATTTATCAGGAGTCATACTGTAAATGATAACTACCACCTATTCCATCCACACATGTTGAAAGCTTGAATTTCTCCCTGGATTTTCTATTCTGTTTCCTTCGCTTATTTGTTCCTTTACTGGCAAGACATTGTTCCAGTTATTGTAACTTCATAACCATTTGTGTTATCTGCAAGATCAATACAATATTATCCCCCATTTCATCTTTTTCTCTGTTGCCGAGGCTAATTCTTGCTTTTGTTTACTTACATTTTGCATTTATTATGAGCTTCAGAATCATTCTGTGAAGTTCCAAAGATACCTATTCAGGATTTTGATTGGAATTGTGTTAGATTCACAAATTAGCAAAAATCTAATAATACTGAAAGCTTGCTGGCACTTTTGTATAATTATTTCCATTCAGAAGCATCACGTGTCTGTGCCCATCCATCCAAGTTTTCCTCTTGGGCATATCAGCCTGTGCTTGCTTGTTTGTTTGTTTGTTTCTTTTTTGTGTGTCTCACATTTTCTTCATCAAGTTCATCCCCAGGTACTGTACATTTGGGAAATATTGAGGTTTATTTTATGGCAACTATCAACGAGCACATTCATTTGGGGTGCATTTGTAACGGCTTACTTTACTGAACATTATTAGTCTACTTGCCTCCCGTTCATCCTTTTTTTTTTTTAATGTGGACAACCATGTTCCTTTTTCTACAAAAAGGAGAGAGGATAGTTTTACTTTTTCTTGTTGTTTTCTCGCTGAGTTAGAGCCAGTTTGCAGATATGTGACATGTAGTTCCCTCCTGCTGGGATGCTACCGAGATCACACCTTAGCACACCCCAGTACACACACGCACACACATGCACACCTTAGCACATGTTCCTTTCAGCATCCCTGTCAGCTTTGCCCCCTAAAACTCTGACCTGTCTCCCCGTGTGTGTGTGTGTGTGTGTGTGTGTGTGTGTGTGTGTGTGTCCCAGCCATCCTCACGCACCCCCAGGCCTTTGCGCAAGCTGCTCCCTCAGCCCACAAAGGCCCTTCCCAGTTTTCACCTGCTTATCCTTCAAGGTCAAGCTCAAAAGACAAGTCTGAGAGGCCTTGCTGAGCTCCTGCATCAGTGGATGTGGGCGCCCTCCTCTGTGGTCCCTCTCTCAGGATGTGGAAAGTCCTCCAGGTGCAGTTGAACCCGCAGGAGTGTGTTCATCCCTCCCTGTTGACTGCATTCACTTCCCGTTCTCTTTCCCTCCGTTCCATCCTCCCCTCCAGCCAAGGTCCGCCTTCCCCCCACTGGAGACACGGACAAGTTTGCATCAGGCATGCATCCTTGCACTTCCTTAGTTGCCCGCCTCACACCTTCTCTGTCCCTGGATGTCCTGCAATCCCTCCAATGTCCACCACTCTCATTCGCTGGAAAAAGAAGATGAAGGAAGAAGAGGAGAAGGATCCCTCATTCATTTTCTACCACTGCACCTGCCAGTTCTCCTGCAGTTGAACGTTTGTCTTGAGTTCCCACAGAAGCCCGCCCTCTCCTGTTCCCTTTCTGCTCCCTGCCCTGTGTTATCTTCCTTTCTGGTGAAGTACTTGAGCATTTCCATTGGCTCACAAACTTGCCTGTCACTCATCTAAAAAAAAAAAAAAAAAAACCTCTTGACTCCGTTCCTCTGCAGAGACAGCACTGCTGTTTGTCACTCCCAAACTTCCTTCTCAGTGATGTCTTTATCAGCTCTCTCCAAGTCTATCTCCCGTCCCAGCGCAACTTCCTCCTGTCAGATGCCAGACTCTGGGATCAGCCTAGTTAGGATAACGGTGATCTCCGAGCTGTGACAGCAGATTGTCACATCTGTATGCTCACCGTACTCTACCTCTGAGCAGTGCCCGGCTCCATTGCTGCTCTCTCTGCATCTTCCCCTCCCTGTCTCTTGAAACACATTCTGTCTTGGTTTTGAACCGCCTGCTCTTCCTCTCCCCGACCCCCTCGGCTCCTCAGGCTGTCCCCACTCCTCCATGCCACTTTGGTCATGAGCCTTCATTACACCCTTTAGTCATCTCCTCACTCTGTGGGTTTAAGGCCCATCACCAAGTCAACAGCTGCTACTCTCCGTCTCTCCCTGGGACTCCGCATCCTGGTGTTTGTACTTGGTGGTGCTCACTGTGTCTAAAACAGAACCCCCTACTCTGTCAAACTCTCTCTAAACCTCCTCTATGTCCAAAAATGGCACCAGCAAAACACCCAGGCTTCATTCATCCTCAGTTCCTCGATTCCTCCTTCCCCATCTGCTCGTTGCTATCCTACCATCAAGCCCAGCTGTGAACTTGTCCAAGTCTCCCCACAAAAACTTCCTCAACCCATCTCCTGGTTTCTATCTCTGCCACTGCTGTCCTAACAAGAGGAGTCATCGTACTTTCACCACCTCATTATTAAGCATCTCCTAGATACCTCCTGGACCCCTCTCTGGTCCCCTGCCACCCAACACTCAGCAGCTATACAGTCTTCTAAACCCAGAAAGCAGGACGTAACACTGCCATAGCTAACACCTTCCTAAATGTCTGTGTTTGCACTCAGAACAAAAACCTACTCCTCCCTTCTGTGGCCTGACCCTTGCCCACCTGCTCAACTCCACCAGTGGCCACTCTCCCAGCTTTTCTTGCCTTAGCTACAGTGGCCTTCAGAGCCTAACTTTTCCCCTCCGGAAGCCTATGCAACAGCTACTGTCTCCTAGAATTCCTACTTCCTCTGTTGTGACCCGTTTTAGCTGGCCATTGCACTAAACACCCCTCCATGTCCCTTTGCCTGTTGATTTATCTGTTTGCTTTATCCAGGTCTCTTACCTAGCATGGAAGCTTCCTGAAAGCATGGCTTTTTACCATCTCATGCTCCATCCACCACCTAGAGCTTCAGGCACACAGTAGGGGAGTCAGTAAATGCCAAAAGAAGGGGTGACTGGCTCCTGGTGTTCCTGGCAATTGGTACAATTGGTACAATTTGCAGCCCAGCTGTCCTGTGTTTGCTGAATTAGTAAACACGTTACTCCCTATTCTGGAAGCTTCCTGAAGAGCAAGGCCCTGGTATGGGGATGAGCCTGGTGCTAGGGGCACACTACCTGTGCCTTGGCAGGGGCCAGGGGACTCTCTCTTCATAAGAGGAGAGCCAGGGGCTCTTTTTGCTCTGAGGATAACTGTGGGATGCGTGAGAATGTTGTGAGAACAAGGAGGCTGAGTAGGAAGGAGCAGGGCTGGCTGCCTGGCGGTTCCCAGCTGTGGTGGAGGAGGAAGCGGTGTCCACGCCCTGGGGTATTTTCCTATCAGAACTCTAGCCCTGATGCTGTGCTCTCTTCTCTCTGGGTGCTTGCGTTACAGGGCGCAAGCTACATCCTGGTGATGGTGGATCCAGACGCCCCCAGCAGGTCGGAACCCCGCTCGAGATTCTGGAGACACTGGCTGGTGGTGGACATCAAGGTAAGCAAGTGGCGGCTGTGACGGCAGGTGCAGCATCCACTCTATGCAGTTTTCAGCTCTCACTCGGGATAAGCACGGATGGCTGTGTCAGGTTGCCCCAAGTGCTCAGCTGTCCCAGCCCCTCCCCGGCAGTCTGACAGCTGCAAAAACTGTCTCGGTAATGAAGAGGCCCCTCCTGGGCAGGGCAGGAGGGAGCAGCCCTGTCTCTGTGCCTCGTCTCTGTCCGTGGTCTTCTCGATGGTTGTGCATAGGAGCCAGGGGTGGTCTTGGGGACGACCAATGTGGCATACTTCTGGTGGGTGTGGATGATCTCACCAAATGGGCACTCGTTGGATGAATGGTATTTGAAAGGCCCTATTGAGCTTCTCTTGATCTGCGCCAGCCTCTGACCTGTGGTGACTCTGCACCCCACCTCAGCATATGGAACCAACCATGGGATGGGAATATGTGAGAGGGGAGGGCAGACTCGCATCTGTTCCTAGTACGTGCAAACTACTTCTCCATGTCACTCTTTAAACAATAGGACATAACAGGCATTCACACAGTGTCGCCGCTGCGTTAGGCGTCCTAGCAGCCTAGGAATGAATCTTACAGCAGAGGGGAGGGTGTGCACAGGTATTAGGCGATTTGAGCCTCCATGGATTGGGGTAAGCATCGCAGATCCCGGGGGACCCACCAGCTATATAATATGCGCGTATTTTCCAGGATCATTCGCTTATTGAACCTTCTGCACATGCGCGACCAGCACTCCCATCCAAGCCTCCCCAGACTCTGCGTGCACACAGTTGAAAAGCCGCCCATCCCTTAGGTCTTTGCATCTGCTTCGGATCACACTGGTTACCACCTCACTCGGTCCCCGTGCAGCCTCTTGGACCTGCCCCAAATGTTTCATCTTTACCTGCTCTTCCTGGGTGCTGCCTTGGTGACACGGGTGTTTGCTAGGATGTTCAGATGGGAATACTTGGGGAAACACAGCAAACACCACGGAAAGAAGAGGGGAGGCATGTGTATTTTCTTTTTTCTTTGTTTATTTAAAAGCCAGAGATTACAGAGAGCAAAGGAGAGGTAGAGAAAGAATGTCTTCCATCTGCTGATTTACTTCCTGAATGGCCACAACAGCAGAACTGATCTGAATCCAGGAGCCAGGAACCTCTTCCGGGCTTCCCACATGGATGCAGGGGTTCAAGGGCTTGGGCCATCTTCTGCCGCTTTCCCAGGATGCAAGCAGGGAGTTGGATTAGGCATGCAGCAGCTGGGACATGAACCAGCACCCATATGGGATGCTGGCACCACAGGGTGGAGGATTAGCCCATTGAGCTATGGCGCCAGCTCCAGGGAGGGTACATTTTCTTCTCAGGTTGAACATAACATGGGGTAGGAGTCTGTACTAACTTGCCAGGGACTCTGCTAGCCACAGAGTGGGAGGTGTTAAAGGGGTGGTCATCCGGGGAAGCTGGTGCGTGACTCAGGGACCTTGGCTCCTTCCCCGGCAGCTCATGTGAGTGCCCCTCTCAGATGCCGTCACAGCAAGGACCACGGAAGGGGCACCGTCTGGGATGCTCTAGCCCCAGCTACCCTTGGGCAGTGCCCGAGCTGGCCTTCTTCCTCATCCCAACACACTTGCCTGGCCGAATGCTGCTCTGCCTGGCAGAGGGTTTACAAACACCATCAGCATGCAAGGGGATAGAGCTGGGGGGATTCATAGATCCAGTGTGAAGAGAGCAGAAGAGGGCATAGAAGGGAAACAGCCCACTCTCTCTCCTCAAGTGAGACATTGTCTCTTTCTGAATTTGGAGCCTCCTCACAGGTCACAAAGGGCATCTTGGGGTCCCCCAAGAAAGGAAGACAGTTCGGGAGATCTCAGTCACAACCCACCCTGAGCATGAGGCCTTCCAGTCACCAGGTTCTAACTCAGCAACTCAGAGTGCAAAAACCACGCAGGGTGCCATGTTTTCAGGATAGAGGGAGCATCCAGGCCATGAGGCTGCCTCTCTCATAGCGCCACCCCCACAACACACACACCACCACCACCAGTAGTGCCCACTGGAACTGAGCCATCACACACACTCAAAGAGGCAGGTGGCAGTTGGCAGCTGTCAGGGCAAGCTGCTAAGCCTCCCAGCTTCCCAGGACCCCACCTGCCAGGGGACGCTTCGGCCTTCCCACGCAGGCCGGAGGAGGCTTGGGTTTCAGTCGCATTGTCACCCACTTTCTCCAGCTAAGCATGGAGCAGGAAGCAGCAGCTCTGCCCGGCTGTGTCCACTGGGCTTGGGTCCACCTGCCCCCGAACAATTTCACCAGCCGCAAAGACTCTGTAAACCCAATCCGTGTAAGACTCTGGTCCCTGGGGCCCCGACCAGAGGAAGAGAGGGCTCTCATCAATTCCAGGAGTACTTCCTTTGTGGTGGCGGTCACTGCCGCCGGCTGCTGGGTGGGTTGCCGACAATAGAATGTGTTCGCCTTGATCAGTGAGCCGGGAACAGCACAGGTTGGTGGACGCCAGTCCTGCCTTCAGAAGGGCACTTCAGCAGGCTCTGGGAAAGGTGTGGCCTCTGTGTCTGATATGCACTGGGGCGGGGCAGACAGCTTGGAGGAGCTCGAGGTGGGGGGCTGCCTGGTCCTTGGTTAACCTTACTTGATTGTGGAACATTCTGGGTCCCTTTGCAAACTTGGCATTCTCCCCATTTTAGAGATGCAGAAAGTCAAGGCCAGGAAGATGGAAAGAGGCAGTGTCTCCTCTAGGCATTCTGCCACCCAACACCCTGACTCCAAGCTATCGCTGCCGTTCCAGACGGTGTCCCCACCATGCTCCCTCCTCCCATCTCTCCTATCAGCTTCTTTGTAGCAGGGAGCCACCACACCCTTTTTGGAAGATAGAAAGCCCCATCTCCATGTCTCCCCCTCAAGCCCATTCTCCAGCGCACCCCCAGGGCTCTAGGAAAGGTTTTAAAAAAATTGGTTGCAGGAAGACAAGACAAGAATAAGCTCACCTTGATGCAAATAAGTGTTTGAAATCCATGCGTGGGTTTTTTTTTTTTTCACTCTATATGTTTTTCATGAACAGCATAAAGGCCTTCATGGTACAGATAGCCAAAATCTATGCCCAGATAAACTCATCTTGTAACTCTGTGGTCCTGGAACCATTGGCAGTGCCCTTGCATTGCTGGCTAACCCTATGAGTAAGTAGAAACTTTGTGCAGGGGATTCAATAAAGGTAAAGAAAACACTGGCCAATATTGTGAACCCCTAAGGCACCCCAGCAGGAAGGCACACCACACAGTCACGACAGGTGCTTCATGGCCATGGTCCTGCCGCTCACCATGGCCACAGAGGCAAAGCTGGTAGAGCCTTGACCAGCCTTGACGTTAAGTGACCACGCCACAGCCGTGGAAGCTCCTGCTGGCCCGTCGCCAGTGCTTGAGAACACAGGACATACCTAAAGCCCACCTCCTCTCTGAAAAAGAATCTGACAGGATCCAGTCCAGAGTGGATTAATGCTCTGGACCCGTGGGCAGCTCATGCCATAGCCGAGGGCGAGGGAGATGGCCAGCATTTGCGGTGCCCTTTTATTCAGCAGAGAGCAACGGAGCACTCCTCAGAAGAGCACAGCACACCCCACCCTGAGCATGGGGACCTTCTGGCCACAAGGTTCTAACTCAATGACTCAGCGTGCAAAAACCGAAGACTGGCTAGGACTTGAGGCCCCAGTCCACTCTGTCCTGAGCACTGTGTTCCCAAGACACTGGCAGTCTCCAACCCGGCTTTATGGAGCTCGCCTAAATTGTCTGAATTAAAGAATGTGAGGAGGGGCCAGCCTGGTGGTATAGCAGGCTAAGCCTCTTTGGCAGCACCGGCATCTTATGTGGATGTTGGTTTGAGTTCCAGTTCTTTTTCTTCTGATCCAGTCCCCTGCAAATGACCTGGGAAAACAGCAGAGATTGTCCCAAACCCTTGGGGCCCTGGACCTATGTGGGAGACCCAGAAGAAGCTCAAATATATAAAAATTAAAATAATAATAATAATAAAGGACATACAAACCACCCCAGAAAGCATTGAGGGGCTTGTAGGGTTGCTTGCTGCTGTTCTGTTTTCATTGGTCCAAATTAGGGACATCCTCCCAACTCTCAGGTCCTCTACACACCCCCACCTATCCACATCTCCCACCTCCTCCCCCACAGCCCTGGAATGACAAACGCCCACATAGCAGAGTAAGACTCCGCCCTGTAGGCACTTCTGCTGTGACGGAGACCTGAGCAATGAGGCTACAGCCTTTAGGGGAGGGCCCAGTGGCTCAGTTATGGAAGAACTGGTAGATCTGTGGGTTTCCATTAGGCCAGAAACTGGGCAAAACTTGAGTCCCCAAACCTGGCCAGACCAGAGTAGGTGGGGCCTGGGATCCAGAAAGGGTGCTTGTCACTGCTCCATCCCCTCACCCAGGGCTCCGATGGAGGGAGGATGCTTCTCCCCACTCCCACCCCCACCCCGAGTGCTGCAGCCACAGCTTTTCCTTCAGACTGCTCCTCTGCTCTGCTCGGAATGTCTCATTCCCTCCAACTAATCATCTTCGAGCTGAAGCCTAATTAACATGTCAATTAGCGTGTACCATTCGTTTCAGAAGCAACGCATATGGGTGTGTCTCGCACGCATCTCCGAAATCAGAGCTCGGGGCTTTTCAGGCAGATAATTCCATTAGGCTTTTTTTTTTTTTTTAATTGTTGATGGGGATATTGAACGCAGGGAGATGGGATATGAATATTTTCCACAAAGAAAATCATGATCGGTGACAAAGAACACAGAGAACAATTGAGGAGACAAGAATTACCTTTCTTCTTCCAAAAAAGTCTTCCTAGAAGCCGTCAGTGGTTCTGAAACTTGCCCTGAATACCTTTGTGTTGTGTTGTGTTAAGGAAGAAAAGTCACCGCCAAGTTCAAATTTCCGTTTTCCTCCATCGTGGACAGCTATAAAGGTGGACGCTTCTGAAGTGAAGTACTTCAAAGGG